GACGGACGGACGGACGGACGGACGGACGGACGGACGGACGGACGGACGGAGCGGGTGAGTGGCGCGGGGATGGGATGCGACGGGACGGGAGCGGCCGCGGGACCCGCCCTTCGCGCAGCTCCCGGGCGGAGCGCGGACCTGGGCAGGGGGGAGAAGCGGGCAGGACGCGCGGGGCTCAGGGGATGGAAGGTCGGAGGCTCGGCGGGAGCGCCCCGATCCCGCCGGGATGGGCGGGGGGGGGGGGGTGGGGGTGGTGCCAGGGGGGTTCGTGCGGCTCCGCGGGCAGCCGGGAGGGCAGTGCCCGCTGAAAATGGCAATTTATGGCTCCCTTCCCCATCTGTCCTAGCCCCGGGCTACGCCTTTCAAGTCAGGGGTAAAGCGAGGCCTAAAGTTAGGGCGAGGGTGGTGTTTGCCCCCCACCCGCTTCGGCCGCTGCTGTTATCACTCCAAAAACCAACACTGGAACAACTCGTGCCCCTTCCAACTTAGTGGGCTGCCGGGCCCGCGGTAGAGGGCTGGGGTTTCCAGGTTGGGCTGCGGGGTCTGGGAATTGGGAGAGTTCATCGTGACTGGGAATTGGGAGAGTTGATCCTGTCTGGGAATTGGGAGAGTTGATCCTGACTGACTGGGAGTTGTGAGAGTTGATCCTGACTGACTGGGAGTTGTGAGAGTTGATCGTGACTGACTGGGAGTTGTGAGAGTTGATCGTGACTGACTGGGAGTTGTGAGAGTTGATCGTGACTGGGAATTGGGAGAATTCACCGTGTTCAGGTGTGTTGTGGAGGGGGGGGGGCGCCGGTGGGTGGGAGAAGAGAGATGTAGAGATCTCTGAAATGTGGGAGCTCTGGGTTCCCGGTGTAGGGAGGTGATTAAGTGTCAGACGGAAATTCAGTTTCTCCGTGGGAACGTTTGTCTTTGTATAAATGGATACAGATCCATGAGACACAGGGTGATGTAATCAAAGGTAACAAGCAAGGAACGGGGTCTGTGGTGTCGAACCCAGAGAAGACCCTTCCTTCTTCAGAGGCTTAATGGACAAGGTGGAGCAGGAACACTGAATATATTTGGGAGTGCAGGCGGAGAGTGAAAGCATCTGTGCAGCAAGTTTTCCTGGTGCACCGTGTGTTTTTGGGCTCTCTGGCACCACTCCAGGGCCCCGAGAGTCACCACAGGCTGTCCCTGACCTTGGTCACTGCTCTGCTGTCCTGGGGAAGTGGCTGCAGGATGTTTGCTCCCTTCCCGAGTTGTTCTCGTCGGGGTGACCGTCTCCTCTCCCAAGGAGAAGTGTCAGACTTATTAAATAATAATTAGGGTACAGGGAATAATTACATCGCTGACCGTGCATTAGCAGCACAGGGATGTGCTAATTACCCCCCCACACCATCCAGATCGAGTGGGAATGAAGCGAACTGGAGGATCCCTGGGTCGGGAGTGAGGGCCAAACCTCCCTTGGCAAATCCCAGGAGCAGTGAGAAGACATTCCCGGAGTCTCCGGCATTACTGGACCCCCCAACCCCCCCGGCTCGAAGTTGAAGTTTGTAAGAGGCTGACTCACCGTCTGAGCCCAGCAGTGGGATTCAAGTTGATTTGCTCTCGGTTATTGTGTCAACAAGTCATCGGTGATAAAAGGTCATAAAGCATTGTAATGCCGGGCACTGACAGGCGCTGTCTGCGGGCCGGGCCGATCCGAGCCCAGCCCACGGCACCCCACTGGTTTGCTGAGAGAGGGGCACTAATTTCTCTTCTCTTTCTGTGGGTTTGAATTCACTGCTGGCCTTGCAAATGCAGTGTTTGTTGTTAGAAGGGACTGCTTGTAAAGCGAAGTGTAAAAGAGGCGGTGGAAACGAGCCTTGGGAAGGATTTTTTGTTAAAATGCCACTTTTTTTTTTTTTTTTCCCTTTCCAATAGAAATCCATACGTGCTTTTGCTTTTGATTCCAAGTCCAGGATTAACCTGGACTTTGTGTCTCTGCAAACACGCTGCAAAGTTTAATTCTGAGGGCATTTCTGACATGGAGAACCAACACAGCAGAGTTTCAGGAGCACAGAATAATTTTGATGATTGCTTCCTGATCCTTTGCAACTCCTGGGAAACACTCTGCTAATGTGCCCACACATTTTCAAACTATTATTTAAAGATGATTTGCAGTTGAAGCTGAATATTTTCTTTGTTTAACAGATAGACTAAATTGTGTTTGGATTAATTTTGTGTGAGCACTTGCATCTGAATGGGATCTACAGGTATTTGAACAAATAAAACCTGTTCCTAGACTAGTTCTTGGATAGGATTTTTTTAATCTTCTCCATCTCTGCTACTAGACATATTTTGCAACTCCTGCAGCAGTATTCAGGGCTTATGGCAAAGGTTTTACTTAACCTGTAACTTCTTTATTAATGGGAATATTTGTAATTTCTCACCTCTGTTTCAAGACTTACAAAGGAATATGGGGGATGCAGCTTCTAAGCGTGTGTAGAAGTCCCCTGCTAAAAATCAAAGACACTGAATGTTTCCTGGCCTTGCAGAGGGACGGGCGTTAATTTTGTTTGTTTGGCTTTGTTCTACACAAGGAAAATATTGTTGGTTGGCTGCAACTGTGTCGGCAACACGGGGCTACTTAAACGAAAACATTAAGTAAACAACACTCGATTTTTTAGCAGGAGTGCAGGGCAGACTTGCAGTTCATGTCCTTCTGGATAAACATCCTGGTTATTACAGGTCAGTGGTGTTTGCCAACGATTACGCTGCTTTCAGGGCATTCGTGAAAAAGCCATAAAATGACTTTGGGAGGCACGTCCGTCTCTGGGATAAAACAGCCCCTTCCACCCCAGCTGGGCTAAAGCACGTGTGAGTTTTTCCTCCTCCTCGATGGCAGGTCTGACAGGACTGAAAAGGAGCACGAGATCGGCTCGGCCCCTTTGCTGAGGCTTTGGAAACTCTGCTGCCTGTTCTTGCTGTGGCTTGTTCGGGGCTTTATCTGCAGCTCGGGTTCGCTCGGGGCTCGCCCTCCGCGCGCTCAGCGAAGGCAAATAACGCGCTCGGGAAGGTTTAACAGCGAGTTGTTCTCCTTGTAACAGTCCTGGTTCCCGCTCAGTGATGTGTGAGTAACTCCTGCTGGCAGAGGAGTCGCCCAGCTGAGTCCCAACGAGTGGTTTCAATGTGCAGCAACACGAAAAATAACAGCGGCGATCCAGCGGTTTTTCACTAGACGAGTTCAGGTTTTTTTAGAGCATTGGGGTCCTGACCGACCTGGAGCGGTGGGTGAGTGGTTGCTGATCCCTGTCTCTTGCAGACCATGGCGTTGCACCCGCGCAGGGTTCGCCTGAAGCCGTGGCTGGTGGCCCAGGTGGACAGTGGGATGTATCCCGGCCTCATCTGGCTGAACCGGGAAGCGAAGCGGTTCCAGATCCCCTGGAAACACGCGACCAGGCACAGCCCCCAGCACGAGGAGGAGAACACCATCTTCAAGGTGAGGCAGGGCAGAGCTCGGGGGACAGGGACGGAGAGGTGGATTGTTGGCCCAGGAGCTGGACAGGCATCTCAGGAGCTGCTTCCAGGCACATTTTGTCCTATTTTATCTGACCTCAGAAAAGCCACTTTGTGCACCTGGATGCCAAGGTTGGCACTGCCTGAGTCGGTGTTGAGTTCTTTAACCCTTTCCAACCACCAAAGGCCAGATGGTGTCTGAGGCCTGGGCTCTGGAAGATTGCTGCTCCTTGTTTCATCTGGGTTTAGGATGTGGGAACTGCCTTGCTCTTGGCACCAGACCAGTAAATGCTGTTACGTAAATCTGAAGAGGTCCCACCACAAGCTCATCACAAGCACTCATCGCTGCTGCCACTAATATTCTTATCCCAAGGGATTGATTATAACTCCCTGCACTCCTTGGAGGAATTTATGGCCTCTATCTTGGAGGCATCTTGGGCTGATAGTCTGATTTTTGAGGTGAGAGAGCCACTGGACATCTGTGGCTGCCCTTTCACTCCATTTTAACCAAGTCCCTTCCTCCTTGGTATGGCTCCAAATGACTTCTGCTATTGAACCTGAGAGACCTAGAAAAACTGTGCATGACTCTCTACAGTTTGTACTTTGCATGTTCAGAATTGCTAATGATTTTCTGAAATTCGGATTTCCATCCTTTTTTTTTTCTTTCCCTCCCCCTTCTTTTAACAGGGAAAAGCTATTAAAGGGGGGGAATTTCTGTTGTGGTTATCAGAGGAGCTCTGGTTAAGGCTTCTGCAGGAGAAGGGTTTTGCAGTGAATTTGTTGGGAAGCCTTGGTTCCTGATAAAAGCTGCTCTGTGCAGATGGCTGTGCACTGAGCTCGGTGTACTTTGTCCCCAGGCATGGGCCGTGGAAACAGGGAAGTACCAGGAAGGAGTGGATGAGCCAGACCCTGCCAAGTGGAAAGCCCAGCTCCGATGTGCACTCAACAAAAGCCGGGAATTTAATTTGATGTACGATGGCACCAAGGAGGTGCCCATGAACCCCATTAAAATTTATGAGGTGTGCGACATCCCGCAGTCCCAGGGCTCAATCATTAATCCAGGTGAGGGCCCTGCTGCCACGGGGCTGCTTCCTGAGCAGGCATTTGTCCAACAATTCCTTTCCCTCTGTGCATTAACTCTCGAGCTGCCTTGGTGTGCAGCAGAGAGCAGCTGCCATCTGTAAGCCTGGGCTTAAACTAAGAGGACCTTGAACCATATTTTAACACCAGTGCTAAGATGAATAAAGCTGCACACAGTTGTGTGCTCTCTGCTCAGCAGTCTCATATTGGCAATACTGTATCTTACTTTATCTGTGTCTTACTTTATCAATACTTTATCCTTAGCTCTCTAGAACTATTTATTAAACTGAAAATATCGTGTTGTACAGATCACATTTATCCTTTTACTTATATTTGAAAAATACACAAATAATTATCCAATACTGTGCACAACCACTATGAAGATTTTATTGTTTTTTTTTCAAGAAATGCATCACAGTGTTTCACGCTGACCATCCACCCACAAGAATGTGCTTGTTTTCAGGTTCCACTGGCTCAGCTCCGTGGGATGAAAAGGATAATGATCTTGATGATGAAGAGGAGGAAGAATTGAATCAATCTCAGCATGTCCCTATTCAAGAGACATTTCCATTTCTTAATATCAATGGTTGGTGGCACAGACTAATGTACTTTTGGGGCTATTTATTTGCAAATTGGTGCATGCTTGAAGTAAGATCTTGGTTTATTGAAGAACTGTTACCTTTTTTTTTTCTTTTTTTCAGAATCTCCAATGGCTCCAGGCAGTGCAGAGAACTGCAGCCCTGAAGCTGTGTGGCCAAAGAATGAACCTCTGGATATGGAAATGCCCCCAACTGCGCTGCAGCACGACTTCTTCAGCAGCCCTGAGCTCTGGATCAGCTCTCTGCCAAGTATGTGTGTGGGTTTGTAATAGTGCTTCTGCCCTTGTGCTTTAAAAAAACCCCAGAGTTTTCACTTTTTGACCTGTGGCTGTTTGCAACACCTGTGTAGAGTTTGACTGTTCCTGTGACTGTAGAGTGGGTTGTTGCAGTCCAGAAAGCCAACCCTGTCCTGGGCAGCAGGGGAGGGGGGGATTCAGCCCCTCTGCCCCCTCAGGTGAGACCTCACCTGCAGAGCTGCCTCCAGCTCTGGGGAGCAACAGCACAGCAAGGACATGGAGCGGCTGGAGCGAGCCCAGAGGAGACACCAAGTTGATGAGAGGGATGGTGGAGCAGCTCTGCTGTGAGGAAAGGCTGAGAGAATTGGGGTTGTTCAGCCTGGAGAGGAGAAGGCTTTGGGGTGACCTAATTGTGGCCTTACAGGACCTGAAGGAAGCCTGCAAGAAAGAGAGGGACTTTTCATAAGGACATGGAGTGGCAGGACAAGGGGAATGGCTTCAAACTCACAGAGTAGGTTTAGATTGGATATTAGGAAGAAATTCTCCCCTGTGAGGGTGGTGAGGCCCTGGCACAGGTTGCCCAGAGAAGCTGTGGCTGCCCCATCCCTGGAAGTGTCCAAGACCGGGTTGGACAGGGCTTGGAGCAACCTGATCTAGTGGAAGGTGTCCCCCCATGGCAGGAGTGGAACAAGATGAGCTTTAAGGTCCCTCCCAACCCAAACCATTTGAGGATTTCTGTGATTCCATGGTTCCATGATGTGTCTCTGCTGCTGATGCTGGAACATGAAGGAAAAGCCACAGTGACAGTTTCTCTCTCAGTGACAGACCTGGAAATCAAGTTCGAGTACCGAGGGAAGGAGACCGGACCCACGACGACCGTGAGCAACCCGCAGGGGTGCAGACTGTTCTACGGAGAGCTGGGCCCCATGCCAGACCAGGAGGAGCTCTTTGGGCCCATCAGTTTGGAGCAAGTGAAGTTTCCAGGAACGGAGCAAATCACCAACGAGAAGCAGAAGATCTTCACGAGTCGGCTGCTGGACGTTATGGACAGGGGGCTGATCCTGGAGGTCAGCGGCCACGCCATCTACGCCGTGCGGCTCTGCCAGTGCAAGGTCTACTGGTCCGGGCCCTGTGCACCTTCCTCCACCACACCAAACCTGATTGAGAGGCAGAAGAAAGTCAAACTCTTCTGTCTGGAAACATTCCTGAGCGGTAGGTAACTTCTGCTTCTGGGAAACAGCTTTGGGTGCTGGTCTGGGCACTGTGGGAAAGGGTTGGTGTGGGTGCACTGTTTATTTTGCTTGTGTGTGGAGTGTGGGTTGGGGCCACCATCTCCCTGACTTCCATGGAGCAGATGCGTGGCATAAGAAAGGGGATGTACACTCATTTAATGCTCTGAAAGACATTGGAGGGCTTTGCTTTTAGAAAAAAAAGCTCTTTGGGTGCAAGAAAAAATATGTAATTGTGTATGTGCAAGAGGTGGCAAAGGACAGTGTGTAGGCAGGACCTGGGATGATACAGTGAGGTGGGGTGGGGTGTTTCTAACTGACAGAGGACAACCCTGCATCATTCTGCTTTTCTTCCTAGAGCTGATTGCCCATCAGAAAGGACAAATTGAGAAACAGCCACCCTATGAGATCTACTTCTGTTTTGGAGAAGAGTGGCCCGATGGAAAGCCCAGGGAGAGGAAGTTGATTGTGGTGCAGGTAGGAGCTGAGGCTCTGAGGTGACACGTACAGGGTGGTGTTTGGTCACAGGTTGGACTTGAGGATCTCAGAGGATCTCTTCCAGCCTGGTTGATTCTGTGATTCTGTGCCAGCCTTGTTGGGTTTGATGTGTTGTCTCTGGATCAGTGCCCAAGGATAGCAGAGACTTGTGGCTTCTGACACTGGGAAAACCCCAGTAGGGCTGGTGAGTTTGGGGAGAGCAAATACAAACATTACACGTGTTGGATAGAATCAGTCTGTGAGTGCTCTTTAGATTATTGTGGAAACCACCCCCAGCATCCAGAACGGGGGATTCCTGCAAAATAACGGGGATATTCTGTGTGCCACCGGCCTGAAACAAATGCCTTCCTCTCAAACAGGTCATCCCAGTTGTGGCCCGGATGATCTACGAGATGTTCTCGGGTGACTTCACGCGCTCCTTCGACAGCGGCAGCGTGAGGCTGCAGATCTCCACCCCTGACATCAAGGACAACATCGTGGCCCACCTGAAGCAGCTCTACAGGCTGCTGCAGAACCACCAGGAGGGGTGGCCCATGCAGGCCCCCCCCCTGCACATGGCACAGCCGCTCCCGGCGCAGTGACAGACCCCTGGCTTTGCCCACCCCCCCCCGCCCCGGGGTTTTCTTTCTGTTGTACATATAGAAAAGTGTCTCTTAACCAGTGCCTCGCCTACACCTGAATAAACCAAACCTGTAAATCTGGTCATCTTGATTCCATAATTTCATAGGTGCTTTTGTTTTGGAAGCCCTCAAAGCAGAGGGGATTACAGGAATGCTTCTGACTCCTTCACCCTTTTCAGCTGTTTGCTTAAGCAACCCCTGTGTATAAATCAGATTTTCGATTCTGTAATATTTTTTTTAATCTGCTATTGATACGTTGTATATAAGCACTTGATCATTAGAGGGGGAAAAAGAAAATAATCTGCTCTATTAAAACTGCCTGGAGAATATCACCTTGTCTAGTTTTTTCTCTTTAACTGGGCTGTAGCAGCAAGCTGGGATGCTGATGCTTCTTCTACTGTGCTTTTTTTTGTAGGGATGTGTATACACAGGCACTGTAAATGCATATATCACAGAGTTTCTAGGGTTGGAAGGGACCTCTGGAGCTTATCCAGTCCAACCCTCCTGCCAGGGCAGGGTCACCTGGAGCAGGTGACACAGGAATTTGTTTTAAAAAAAAACCCAGCTCTGCAAACTCAGAGAAGCCACCTGGACAAGAGAAGACTCTGGGAAGAACTTAGAGCACCTTTCAGTACATAAAGGGGCTTCAACAGAACTGCAGAGGGATCTTTTTACAAGAGTATGGAGCGTTAGGACAAGGGGGAATGGTTTTAAACTAAAAGAGGGAAGATTTAGGTTGGATATTG